AAATTATGTTATTAATTACTCACCCTCATGTTGTTCCAAACCTGTAAGACCTTTGTTCATCTCCGGAACACAAGTTAAGATATTTTTTTATGAAATCCGAGAGCTTTCTTACCCTGCATAGACAGCAACGCAACTACCACGTTCAAGGCCCAGAAAGGTAGTAAGGACATTGTTAAAATAGTCAGTGTGACATCTGTTGTTCAACCTTAATTGTATGAAGCTACGGGAATACTTTTTGTGCGCAAAGAAAACAAAAATAACGACTTTATTCAACAATTTCTTCTCTTCTGTGTCAGTCAACGCAAGTTCACAAGAGTACCAAGATGCATGCGTGTGCATTCCTCTGATTGAAAACAAGGTGCAGCACATCCATGTTCTACATCAGAATGCTGGCTCCTGTGGCAGCAGCACCACATGCATTCGTTGTGGTACTCTTGTTAACGCGTGGCAAAGACTGACACGGAAAAGAAGAAATTGTTGAATGAAGTCATGTTTGTTTTCCTTACAACGTTTCTGGGCCTTGAACGTGGTAGTTCAGTTGCGTTCTATGCAGGGTCAGAAAGCTGTTGGATTTTATCAAAAATATCTTAATTTGTGTTCCAAAGATGAATGAAGATCTTACGGGTTTGGAACGACATGAGGGTGAGCAATTAATGACAGAATTTTCATTTTGGGTGAACTGACCCTTTAAAGTACTGTACATCATAGTAATGTCAAATTAAAACTAATTATGAAATTACATTTAATTGGGTCTAAAAGCACTATAAAGTTTGGCTAACTGCATTTAATATAAATGTAAATTATAGCAAATTTTCATAAAATTACAATTAACATGCAGTTAAGTCTCTGAAAACATTACATTCAGTTCACACTTAAATATATTATTTTAAACTATATTATTTCCCTTATAAGTACTCTTTTTAAAAGTATGCTAAAGTGTACTTTTTTAAAAGGGCATTCTTACCTCATGAATTAAAAGAGTGTGTAGTGGTCAGTGGTGTAATTTTGACATTTGTGTGTGTTGTAACAGTTAGTGATGTTATAGTGAATGGTGTTTTTTTATGATTTTACTGTCTTTGGTTTAACTGTTTCTTATAACTTTGAATTAGGTGTATAGATAGTAAGACGACTGACAAAAGGCCATTTTTTAAAACTTATTTAGCATGACTTTGTCTAGAATTAGAAACAAGAGAAGTTAATAAATATTGCATTATCCTGGCATGATAACTTTAATGTTTGACTGAGAAATTTGAGATATTTTCATATGCAAATGTCCACATATTTGTAGACTGAACCAGCTGGTGTGTCAACACTTGCACAGAAAGCCTCAAAAATATCAAGAGGACAACACTTCTCCAGTCCTTGTTTTACCCAAGTTAGGCCCTGCCAGAGTGATTTGGCCTGCACTCACTGGTAATGCCACAGGCTTTTAGCAGAAGTCAATGGGAGCATGTCGCCATTTCCTCAAGGCAGGCCACAATAAGTGGGCACACTTAACCATTAATGCTCTCCTACTGGGCATGCCTGTGGCTGTCCGGAGGTGCTGGATGCCATGTGTTCTTACAAGCCAGAATTTTCTTTTCATACTCTTACAAGCTCTTGTGCATGTTCAGTTAGCCAGGGGTAGTGTGATAATTGCAATTAAGAACTGTTTCACTACAAAATTGATCTAATAAATGAGGCGATGTTTTACTCTTATGTAACACAAAAAGACAATTAAACCATCCGCAATGTCTTATCCTTACAAAATGACTGACTTGTCAAACACAACTTGCGCTATTATTTGTGCCTCAGCAGCTCAGAGATGGTTATGCAATCTGCCAGAAAAAGCTTGTTAGCCCACTCAGGCTTGCCATGTTATGGCAGTTATTAGGGGATCGAGTAATTGTTTTGGATTTGAAATAGTGTAAGAGATGGTAAAGCAAACGAGGCATTGGCCAGGCTTTCTGATTAGCAGAATGAACGGGACACATCTTCTCTTACTTCAGCTACTCTGTTATCTCTGCATTTTAATAGATTAACATTCTGGCTTCTTTCTGTCTGCCATTCAGAGAAATAATCATGTTTGGGTTATGTAACGCCTGGATAAATCAGACAAACAATTATGTATTATATTTAACAAATAATCCAACAGACCCCCTCACACAACAACCAGACTGCGTGCCGGGGTGTCTGGGTCATATCCCCAGGCCATTGAGTGTATTATTACTGTTCTTGTACATTGTCTTTTGTACTGTATACTGTTTTATGCATGCTTAAAGCTGCAGTCCATAACTTTTTTTGGTAAAAAATGATCCGAAATCAGTATTTGAGCAAGTACATAACCAGCCAGTGTTCAAATCTATCGCCTTACTTTAGCCCGATTCACAACGTTATCTTATAATATTGTTTTCTACTTTGAGTGGTATGGGTAGGTTTTCACGGGAAATTCGAGCAAGTTACTGCGTCATTACGTCACATCTGTAAACATAAAGAAGTTGTCCCGGCTACTAGGCTATCGCATGTGAGGATCCTGCAGGTGGCCAATCGTTTATAGCCTTTTCTCACAGCAGCCAGAATAATTAAATGTATAATTTTAATGGCGGATTGTAATCCATGAAGGATTATGTGTTTATGAAACACATGTGAATTAAATTAAATTATATTCCAGTTATAAATGTGCTTCTGATTACAGATAGCCTGGGATTACAAAGATTTGTATTTTAAAGAAAACCAGTTCGAAGGGAGCATAATTAGCTTTTTGGGTTAAAAGAATTTCTTAATATGAAATTCGAAGAGTATGACAATTAGATTAGACTGTGCAGAACTTTTAATCTACTCGCTAATACACACTATACTCATAGTCACCAATGCTGATGTTGTTAACATTAATAATTTGAGAATAAAGTATAACAATAATAATAATTTGAACGGTTTGATGTGATATGAGCTAACCGATCTTTAGATTTAATCACCATTGGTAGCAAAATTTATGGTAATGCTTTTTTCATCAGTTGGTCAGAACAAACATGGCAGACTTGTTACTTACTTGTTCAGATGGCAATATACGGTGAAAATTCTTATTTGGGTCATAATCCAAGACTTAAGCTAGAATCTGTGATTGCGAAGTACAGTAAATATCCACACCAGTGCGGTGACTGACTGCCACACATACTCTTCAGAACATCAGATTCATCAGCGCTGGAGCCGTGCCGACTCACAACCCACACAAGCTAGATAATTCCGCACACAGCTGCAATTCCAGGTTTTCAAACAGAGATGGCGACAAAGAGGCAAAACTTGCGGACTGCAGATTTAATGTAAACTCACAATACCATGTTTGGTCTCTACAAATTCATGTTTTAATTTTCTAAATGAGAGTGTATATTATATGTTGATACCCATGCAACATATTAGTGTTCTAGGAATCTTTCATAGATTTTGTATCAATACCCAATAAATACCATGCTCGAAGACAAAGAGTCATAGACATTTCCTCCGAAAGTTTAAGTCACCATTGGCTCACCAACCTACTGGAGGTGTGACCTCCATAGAAGTTACAAGGCCTCACATCAGTGACCTCGCTCTTCTCTTTTCTTCGGTGTTCATACTCCCTTTTCTCTCGGACATCCAGTCCGACCGTGACCTGCGGGACCTCCCCCCTCATGGTCTTCAAACTCGGAAGAACGTGATCGCAATTGCAACACCACCAAGCCTTCAAACCATCAAGACTTTCATCTGAGACTGCATCCAGACACTTGTGCAATGGCCAAGGCAATGCAAGTATTGCACATTTAACTAAACGAAACAGAGGTTTAATATAAGCTGTAGACCCCGTTGTAAAACGGTGCTGATGGTTTCACTCAGGTTGTTAACTGACTCATTTTCCATAGCTGCATTCTCTGGTTTCATTCATGCACTTTAACTCACCTTTGTATGTATGTGTGAGTGTGTATGTATTTTGGTTAGACTAGTTTGTGTTAGTGTTTAGTTAATAAAACTTTTGTGCCCAAAGAGTTTCCTATTCTGTCAATGCTTGTGGATAATGTCCCTTTTATAATCCGATCTTGTTACATGCTCTAATGCACTAATACTGTAAGAAAGTATTTTCTGTGGCCATGAAAATATAATTTCTTAGAGTGTATATAAAATGACACTAAATGTTTACTGGATGTACAGATTAGTTGATGGTAATATTAATTCTGCTACAGTTACTATTGGCAGCTGATATAAATAATTGTAATTCATTATAATTAATTGTAATTATTTATATACATTTTTCGTTTGAGCTAGAATTTGCTAGTTAAACTATCTTTCATCCCTAACATGGAATTAGTTCTGTTAAATTGAGCATCTGAAATAATGGTTTGATGCACTTGTTGCTGCTTGCAGGTTTATGCTACATAAATTCACTAGCCTAGCAGTGGAAAGATGATTTGCATTTTCTAAAGGTCTGAAATGTTTAGCTTCAGTTTGAAACATGTTAGTGCTGTGCAATATGAAAATGTATTAACACTCATAATAGTAGTCAAATTGTTGTTGTTGTTGTAGTAGTATTTTATTCACCCCTTTTAAGACTTTTATCTGAATCACCTCTGTTATGCTTTTGAAATAGCAATGCTTGCTCATGGGTCATGGGTTTGCTGTCAGGCCCAATGTATTTTCTTTGCAAAGTGAACACAAAATAAACTGCTTTTAGATCTGCATCTAAAACAGCTTTTATCAGATTGAAATTGTTACACACAGCCAAGAACAGCACAAGGAATGGCACATTATCACAGATTTTCTTCTTATTTTTTCCTCTTATACTATTTGGTTTGCCTTTCAAACAGCATCTTTGCACTTTCAAGCATCATATTTACACATATACAACTCATTTGATCTTTGAATTCTTGAAAGCACTGTAAACCAGGGTTTTGCCAAGTTTAGCTTCAACTCTAATTAAACACACCTGAACAAATTAATCAAATTCTTCAAGTTCACTTGCAGATTACAGGCAGGTGTGTTTGATTAAGGTTTAAATTAAAGTCCATAGGACACTGGTCCTCCAGGACTGGAGCTGTATAGACCTGCTTTAAAACTTCTAGGAGAATCAAGTACTCTTGGAGACAACTTAATCACTGTAGTAAGTATTAACAAGCCTTGCTTGTTCCTACACACTGATCTAAAAGTAGAAACAGATGTTTTGTTTTGCACAAGATCTGCTGGAGAATGCCAGTGGGATGGATGCTTTGCCCACACCCAAAACCATCTGCTGCTCTAAATGGTATTCATGGACACACTCTGGCTTCATATCAAATCATGAGGTTCAAATGCAGTTGTCTTGCAGTTATGCATAGATCTATAAAGATTGAATTAAAATCCATAATATACTTCCAATCATCAAGGCTGTTAAAACTAAAATGTCTAAAAGCATAAGATTTCACTAGAACCTGAAACTTACATCTACCAAAACAACATTAAAATGTGTTGACAGGTTTGTGAGCAGATCTGCCACTGTCTATGAGGAAGGATATTGTAACAAACAAATAAATAAATAAAATGACTGACAAAGGGATCATTGAAAGTTAAGTGATCTCAGTTATTTCTGCACTTCACTTCACTTCACTTTACTAACTTCACTCTGAATCTTCACTGATTGTGAAAGTTTAATTACTGATTTTTGGGAGGCTGAAATGAAAGTGTTAGTAAGATGAATTACCACACACACATAATTAACTTTCTTGCATGTTTCGCAACACTTTTATCAACTTATTTATGTGAAAGCAACACGGACCAAAGACATTTAAATGAACCAAAAACAGCATGCTCAAGCATACCGGGTTCTTGTCATCATAGGAGCTATGTTGCCCATTAAAGGGGTCATATGATGCGATTTCAATTTGTCCTTTCTCTTTGGAGTGTTACAAGCTCTTGGTGCATAAAGAAGATCTGTAAAGTTGCAAAGACTAAAGTCTCAAATCCAAAGAGATATTCTTTATAAAAGTTAAGAGTCAACCACTCCTACCTAAAAAGGCTCATTCTAACATGCCCCCACGTGTCTACGTCACTATGTGGGAAGATTTGCATAACGCCGCCTAAATGTTCACGC